ATCTACAAATCATATACGACGTACTGAAGAAACCAAAGAGCACTCACCTCCCTTTCTTTTTGCTTGGAGCTTACAGATTCCCGCACGAACTAATATCGTCATCACAGGCACTAATCAATTTTATGGACAGGAATAAGGGAAACTTATCATCCTACCACAGCTAAGTTTCTTTCAAGCCTGTTCTTGCCACTATTTATATCTAACAAGATTTCCAAATGTGAGGTTCGTAACCCATCACTGTTCATCACAATTTGCCTCGCATTAAAACATTCTCTTTACAATGACATGGTAAATCACTGAGAGTGATTGTAGTGTAATAACTTTTTATTTGCCGTCTATTTTTCTTCTATAAAAAGGATAAATCACAAACCTGTCGGCGTTGATCAATTCTTGAGGGATGCGCCGTGCATTCGACTTCATTAAGTATCGTTGGAGGTGACTGAATGCATATTTGGCCTTCACAATGACTCGTTGGTGGCTTACCGATTTATCGAGCCACTTCTGCTATCCTCCCAGAAAAGTCTAGTACCAATTCACCGATCCCATAGGGTTGGAAAGCTTGGTGGGCCATGGGCGCGGGGATTGATTCTGCGTGTGTGTCGCAGTGGTTGGGGGCGACACACACGCCTTATTTTTTTTCTTTCATGGCAGAGGATAATGTGAGATATGGTCACAATGGCGCTGAGATATTTGCAAAACTCTGGACCGCAGATGTCTGCAGTGGAGATCAACACGCTATTACCCTTTCCTAGGTGTAAGGCGTTCACCACCTACCATGCAGGTCGCTCGTTTGTACGTTCTCTCAGCCATCTTTCTATAGATGCTATCAATACATCAAATATATATTAATATTAATAGCAATTATCTCAGCATTATTGCAGTTGTATCTCACATATCCTGCTATGAAAAAAAATAAGCAGCAAAAAAGTGATTACATTATGATTTATACTAGAGTTTCAGCTTAATTGGTTCAATGCCGGTTTTTGTTCTTCAGATTAATCCCGTTGACGGTAGATTGCTGATAGCACCTATAGAAACACGGCTACGAGAAAATCGAAAAGAAAGATACGCATGGTGTGGTGGTGAACGCATTAACCCCTAGAAAGGGTAATATCATGTTCGATCCCTATCCCAGACACCTGTGGTTCGGAGTTTTGCAAATATTTTCGCATTATGGTGATTATATTATTTATTACTATTGTTGCAGCTTTGTTATTAATTACTTAGGTGGCCCCACTCATACGTCGCATGGACCACCAACACTTCTTACATCCTCTTCATTTCTTGCCTCTATCGTTTATGGAGATTTCCCGATTCGTTTGTGGGCTTACTTGCCGTTTGAAAGTCTCTTCTTCATTCGTGCTGGATTCTATTTGAACATGATTTTTTTTTCTGGAATCCCAAAATGACAGGGCCTAATTCGTGGTTTTCATTGTCAACTTTGTTGTTATAAATATCTTGGTTGTTCTACTATACTCTTTCAATACAAACTCTAATTTATGTCAATTTTTCCCGACGTAAATATTTGCCATTTGTTTTCTGTGGGCGGGAAAGTCCATTATTTTTGCTTTCTTTTATGCTAACCAAATGGTTAAGCTAAAATATTAGGAACAATTGGACGCTTCTTTGTGCGATGGAGTCACCCAACGCGTTTAGCAACCAGAAGGATTCACCTTCCTTGTCTTTTCATTGGCCTTCTTCGTTCTTCTTATAGGCGTTAACTGACTAATTTTGTCTAGACCTTGGAATTCTGCTAATCATTTCTGAAATGTTGATTAACTTACTGCTTAAGTAATCTCAACTACTGGGGCGCGTATAGCGCAGTGGTTAGAGGTGCCGCGGAATACACAAATGGTCTTTGGTTCAATAGGATGCTTCGTATAAACGAAGTCGGCAATCCCTCAGGGATCTGAAATTAGAATACGACGATAACAAGATTGGAGAGTGCTTCGGTAGGCCACAGCAAGTCCTTGTTTGAACTGAATGTCCATTCGTTCAGTTCTACAAAACTGAATTGAATCCAATGCATGGCGCATCCATCTACGATTGATCCACACCGAACACTCCATCCATTTATTCCTTTATCCAGAAACTGAATAGAAATAGATTTTTTCTGGAAATCCTTCCATGTTCGATTATTCGTTATTTTATTTTATCGAGATTATTTTTTCATTTGTCCACGTTTTACATTTAATTCGGCTCCTTCATTAATCCTGCTGAATGGAGCATAGGTCTAGTCGATTTCGGTCCTTCTTTCGGGTGTCACCATATTCAATAGCATGAGGAATTTCCTCTCCTGTTAAGGATTTCAGTGACACAAATGATAGCTGAGAAAGTTTCCCGCTGAAAAACTGTTTAGGAAAATCAGATGCATTATCAAATTATTTGGCTCTATTTGTTTGTCCACTTATTTATTCAACTACCTGGTTTTCATTCATGCTTTTTTTTTTCATCGTTGTGTTTTCCACATAACCAAAGTTGAAGGTCGTACGTGATGTGCTAAAGCGACGAGAAAATGAGGAAAACGATCAATGGATAAAGAAATATTCTGCCATGGCCTTAACATTTTCAGTATTACGAACAATGCAGGAAAATAATCGAAAGCCAAAGAGATAATCTTTTTCTCAATCATTTCTTATCCTTTCCCTTTCCCTCATTTCTTACCTAATTGGATTATTTTAAGGATTCGGAAGTTTAGTGGGCATTGCTTGGTACGGAACTGCACTGCATTTGTTCGGTACGGAGCTGCAGTGCAGTGATGACATGTACTCATCATCCGGTAGAGTTGCTTAAGCCGAGAAAAGTTCAGCGTTCAACTAGACTAAGCAAAATTCGAACAATGCTACGGAGTAATCCAAAGAGTCTTTGGCAGCCGTAGAAGAATCCTAAACACAAGGCGGCAAATCTTTCACCGATCCCGAAAGGCTGGAGAATGCCTGTTGTGGAGACGCCTTGGTACACTATGGTATGGCGCTTTAGGAATTCAAATGAAGAAAGCAGTCGTTACGCAATCAGTACACCAATCTGTCAGATGAACACATGGTTGGAGCCCTGCAGTCCTGTATTTTATGAGAGGGATAGGTCGTCCAAGCGTATTGGAATAGGTTTTCCTCAAAAATCGGATAAGTGCAGAGCAGGGTTCAACTGAAAGTTACTATCGCAGTACTTCTTCACAATTGATTATTAAACAGTTGGCGCAATGATTAAACGTGCTCTGTAAAACAAAATCAGCTCATGTTCCCTGGGGAAACAAAGCCCCATAAGCCTTACGGGTTAGCAAACTGACGTCAGAGTTGCCTACAAGGGCAAAACATTGGCGTTATACACCGCTAAACTCGTTATATCATTTCTACCGCCTTATGAATGGAGTTTAATGCATGGCCCGTCTTTCAGGTTCATCAATGTCGAGTGCTTAATTCTTTAAGCTTTAATCACTGAACAACAGGAATCATCATCACGTTGTCATTATAATATAAGTTTTAGGCGAAAATGATTTTGATATAATTCCATGACCAGTCGTTTTAAAGCTGGTGAACAAACTGGTGGAATAGCGTAAAAGAAAAAAAATTCCACAGGTTAAGATTTTGGATGGTTCCGAAGATCATGAAAAAATGGGTGACCCATTGTGATATCTGGAAGAGCTATATATTAATAACTCTCTTGTTAAACACGGCGATGCTGAGATATTTGCAAAACTGTGGACCGCAAGTGCGGTGACGAACGAACGCACTATTACCCTTTCCAGGGGCTAACGCGTTCACCACCACACCATGCGGGTCGTTCGTTTCGACTGTCTCTCAGTTAGTTCTATCAATCAGTGCCGTCAGCAGTCACTCGTCAATGGGACTGATCTAGGGAACCCACATCGGTATTGAATCCAATTAAGCTGAGGACCCGCGTGGTGTGCTGCTGAACGTATTAGCCTCCGGAAAGGGTAATAGCACGTTCGTTACCCATCGTATACACCTGTGGTCCGGAGTTTTGCAAATATCTCACCATATTTGTGGCTGTATTTCGCATAATACGCTTCCGTGAAAAGTGTAGAGGCAAAAAATAAGTAAGCATTGTGATCTCTTGTCGATATCGTCTCTTTCTTGCTGTGAAAGTATTTCGATAGACGAGATAAAATTTTCTGTGATCATCCTAGGATCTTGCTTTCTTTGAGGTTATTCTGATTAACAATTTTTTGATGGTACTCGTTAGAGCTGTCATTGACACCACTTCTCTAAAAGGACCAGTTCACTTGGGATTGAAATTGTTCACTAACGCCCATCAGCTTTTTTTTAAAATGCCGTTAGTTATTCGGATTTCTCTCAAAATTATTGTTTTGTATCTGGTAATTTTTTTCTACGAAACGTCGTGAAGAACATCCCGAAGAACGGGTGCCATTCCTCAGCAAATCCATTCCTTCTCCCTTAGTGCCTCTGAAGGCAACGATAAGGTTATTTCTGGCTTGTGTTCAATTCCTAACACGGTCACTTGGAGAACGCTCCATGTAGCTTTACGATTCTGCAGAGTTCCCATATTGTAGAATAGATAGGAGTTTTGAAAGCATGTTAAGCTTCAACAAACTTTTCTAAAAAATATTACAGCATGGGCGGCAACCGTCAACTCATCTGTGCTGTCATCTCTATTCTTGAGATCCGCAGCCACATCAGGACGATTTGTAGTACTGAACTATCCTCAAGTGAAAATCGATCTATTCTCTCATTCCATATATCATTTTGTGTTTAGAAATATTTTTCTAAGCTGTTGAGAACTTCTATAACTATAGAATAGGTTAGTGTATTGGTCATCTCATTTTGTGGCGTTCAAAATCTTCTCATTCGATCCATTTCGCGGTCTGGACTGCTTTTCCTTTATCACATTAGACTTGATAGCTCATTAGATTCATAACTCATCTAGTTCTTACAAGAAAGATGGTATTAAAATGTTCGTTTTATAAGTTCTGTTCGTATAAGTGTTCGAAAACAATTACTTTACATTTGTAAGATTTAAAAATGTCTGAACCACGGTATACCACATCAACGACAGTCGTGGAAACCACTGAGTACATGCCATCTGACGATTCACCGGCATATCGGGTAAATTTTTTTTGCACTATTATTAGTTTTATTCATTTATGTTAGTATTGTTCTAAAAGGAACTTCTAGCCACCAAGAAGTGGAAAAAAAAGATTAGAAAGAATGAAATCATCATCTTTAGTTCTGCAATAGCAACGGTAGTAGTTGAGACATGACCGATGGTTAGGTTAGGACATTTTGTACTGAAAATTAGCCATATAGTTAGGATTTAAGACGCTACAGTACATTTTTACCACTATTTTTTTCTGCAGCAGGTGACCGTCGCGAATGTTGACTGCTCCTATATTCGAACTTTGGGCGGGATCATGAAATGTGTATGCATAGCACTATGTCTGCTATGTTTTCTATGTGTTCTAATCGGCGGACCTGGGTATTATAGTGGTGAGTTGAATCAGTTGTCAAATAAGAAGCCTCTTGTGTTCAAATACTTGTGGAGAGTGGAGAAGACTAGTTAGTCTTTAAGTGGCTGGTGGCTGAAAGAACAACGGCAAAGTTACCGCTGTTGATTAATCTCATTGGAATTCTCCAGAGCTAAATTTGTGTACCACTTTGTGTGGATATGTTAATGAATGGAACTCATTGTTACTTGCAAGAATCCAACAGATGTTGGAGAAAGAGGAGAAGTTTATTGTTCGAATTAGCAGACGAGTCATTAAGCAAATAGGATTGAGTGCTTGATTCGCCAACCGATGAGAGTCAGTGATTACGTGTGACGATTCAGTTTTATGAGGTGCACTCTCACTTCAAATCCTAAGTGCAAGAGGATAAAGGATAGAGCTCTCGGCATTGATCAATCCCTGAGGGATGCGGCATGCATTCGATTTCATCACGCATCGTCGGAGGTGATTGAATGCATATCTGGCCTTTACAATTACTTGTGGTAGCGTACTAATGTATCGAGCCAGTGCCTCTACCCTTCCAGGCAAGTCTGGTACCAATTTTCCAAACCCAGAGGGAAGAAAGCTTAGTGAGTCTAGGGTGCCGTATCGAACCCATGTATATTGCTGGGCACCTGTAAGCACTGCGATAGACGCGCCTCTACTGCTACATTTAGGAATTTCATTCGTTCTTTCGCTATGCTATGGCTATTGATTATTATCTTTTTTTTTCTCCTAAACTACAAAAATGAACCACGCTAGAGCATTCCCACACTTCACACATGCATTTGCATGCCATCCTGGATTTCAAGGTCTTCTCCCCTGCGACTCATATTCTTCTAGGAAGAGAGCAATGCCTGGGATTAATCCATCCACGACAAAGTAACAGACCGAAATCTGGCCAAGCCTACAACTTAATAAAGTTCAGGATTATTAGAGAAACTACGAAAGAAAAGTGTTGATATGAACTTTTTTATTTACTGCCTATTACAAATTTGACGGCAAGGCATTATGAGAAATTAACCACGATTATGCAGTGATATTTACAGAACTCCAGCCGGCAGGTGACTGCGATGGGGATCGAACACCCTATTATCATTTCCGGGAGCTAACGCGTTTACTACCATACTATACATGTCCTTTGTTTCGCTTCCTTTCAGCTAGTTTTCTATCTAACAGTGCCACCAGTAGGGTAATACCGTGTCAGATCCCCACCGCAGGCACTTGCCATCCGGAGTTTTGCATCACTAATATCTCAGCATCATAGAGTTGATTTTGTTAATTGTGTAGAGAGAAAAATCAGAAGATGTTTTCAAAAACTTTTTTCTAACTTTGGAAAATAACGAAGGCTATCAGGGCTTTTGAATGGGAATGGAAAGCAAAAAACACTTCGAAACGGACTTCTATCTTTCTAAATTCTGGACCAAAAGTTTCTAATAACTTTTCAATCCTTGCCAAATTGTCTAGTGAAGTCTACTATGAAGTTTTCTCTTTTATGATTTGTGGTTTTCCTATTTCCTGACTTTTTTCTAGGAAGTGATATTAATGTGCGGATTTCACTCAGCAAAGAAAACCAGACGTCATGTATTCGATGACTTAATATTCTAGGAATTCTCAGTAAATTTATCCGGAGCTCAGCTTTCCACGAATAATAATTCACTGGTCTACCGACTGATGCTGATCGCTGAGAGTTTAAATGTCGTAATAAGCAAATATATGGGGTAAAAACCCATCAGAAAAAAAAATTCTAACTCTGACAAAGCTCTCCAATCCACCTCTTGAGTTAGCTTCGCCCACGATTTGGTGATTTTTCCAGTCGGTTTTTGAGGGAGTTGATTTGATACGATTGATTTACGAGACGTTTTTATCGTGAATTAATCAGAAATGGCCAGTCACTACGGTATTGTATGGGACGACTACAATACTGTGAAACGTTTGCAAAGGACTCCTGCATAGTTTGGAGCTTTTGCTTCGTTCCCATGTTTCCTTCTCTCGCACTTTCGGATTATCATTCGTTTCGATCGTTACAAAAGTTTTTACAAAGCATGCAGAACTTCGATTTGTTGAAGATAGTGAAAAGTGCACTTAGACGATCACTTCGGAGATAAAATCCAACATCCTAGAAGAGCAGAAGCTTTGTAGCTGCTCGAATGATACAAGGAGATTGGTCATTGAATAGTTTACTCCTCATTCGATAAGGTTCTGTAAAGTTTCCAGAACTTTGTTGATTTAAAAAAAAGTCAAAAAAATAGCGTGAATTTTTCCAAATAACTTGTACAGAAAAAAGGTGGGTATCAATGAGCGACTGTTCTTTCAATGTAGTTTAGAGTACCCCGAACATCGCGTTCCCCTCACGTGGAAAATGCGAGAAAGGATGGCGTTGACAAGCAAAGGTTACACATCTCATTTAATGTCAGCCTAACTCAAAAAACTCTTCGTTACAACTTCGTTTGGTCCAAATACTTATAAACTAACAAAGCAATTCTCGACAGCTGCCAGGACATTAACGAGTATACAAAAGGTTTAAGTTTTAAATTCAGGTGCTGGTTGGGCTACATTTGTCTCAAGCGTCGGTTTATGCATCAGCAGCACACTTTTATTTCTTTATCTCTTCCGAGTTGTGGACGCTCTTCCACAAGTGCCGTGGATTGTCGGGGTATGACGTTTTTGTCTTCATTCCTAGCAGATCTCTTTTATTTGACGCTTTTTCTAAATCACATGAAGAGCTGTTTCCCAGTGTTAGATTGTTCAACTTTTACGTGATCATCCAGACATTTCACCGATGTTATGACTAAGTTGGATGTATCTGAATAACGTATAATAAATAACTTACTTACTTGATACTTAATACTTGAGCGGCCCGTCCTCACTGGTTGTGCGGGCTCCAGCAAAGTCTCCATTTTTTGGAGACTTCCTGGTTAAGCCATTGTGGTTCTCTGGAATCCCGAGGTCAACCTGGCCAAAGTGTGCTTCAGGTTTTCACCACCACAAGCAGTCGCAATCCTTGTGGATCAGAGGGAGATTTGGCACCATGCGATTAGTTTGTTATCAGGACGGTGACCGATTCTGGTGTTGGTTTACTCTTAGCTGGACTTCTTGGTGGAAACTCCGGACTCCTTTTCAGCTTGGGAGACCCTACCAGGGGGATAAATTCCCAGCTGTAAATCGCAGCCTAGCATCCAGGAACACCTCCCAGCCACGATGAGGCGGTGAACCGTTGGAAGGATAATAAACAACTACGAGTTCTATTAGGAATGAACTTTCATCGGCAGTGCAAAGTCAGAAATACTTTGGTTAACATGATTTTGACCCACTTTTTATGGTATTAGCTCTAGTCGCTTATTGTTTAATAGGATAATGTGTGAACAGGTGAGCAGGAAACAATGGGTTTTCCCATCTATGTTAGACGATACGAGACTCTGCACGGGACTTCTCTTTCTCAGTCTGCACCGATGTTAGTGATTTTGGATTGGAACTGTTCAACCCAACCACATTTCTTTGAAATTGCTTTATGTTCTGAAGCATAATCACCATAGTGAATTCATTATATACCAATATTCACTCTTTTCTTGTGGCTATGATCACAATACGCAACAATGAGCTCATCCGGTTGTTTCTGTACTCCTAATCGTGCAAAAGAAAAATGCCTTGCTTTACCCTAACACAGTGCTCAAGCGTCTTCCTTGTCACTATGCATGTGTGGTACAATCAATCTCCACCGAAGAGAAAGTTATCATGGGTTCGTTCTTTAGAATGTTTATTCAAAATGGCTTTATAAAAAAGTTGCACGAAACGTCGTCAGACATGGAATGAAGCATGGGGATATTGTTGTATTGAGGCCAACAAATTGTATCCGAGAACTCAATTCTCAAAATTGTAGAAGCACTCCTCAAGGTGATGGAGTGCTTGCAATTAGAGAATGTCATTGAGACTACCTAACCGACATTGATGTTTCCTGGAAATTCTAGACTGGACTGCAACTATTTAGCGGCTATTTGGAAGCTTCCATCGTCGACAACACGGGTGGGAATAATTGGTACATTCAACTCTTTACAATAGAATTTTATCCTTAGAATTTTTGGACCCGGTACACGTCTGCATAGACCTTCTTTGGTCAATGAAATTTCAGTTATCTAAGCCTACAGAAAAGGGTTATAATGAAACATAAACATAAGGAGAAAAGCAGAGATGGCTCATGCTGCAGGCTTGTGAGGAGAACTGGCAACGTAACCTGGGTGTCGGTCAGTTTTAATAGCAATATAAGCAGCTCCTCGCTCTTTACAACGTTATCGTAAACATCTAAGAACAACTAGCTGAGAGACAGGCAAAACGAAGGACCCGGATGGTGTGGTGGTGAAGTGGGCTACTTCCCGGAAAGGACAGCGCGTTCGTTCCCCACCGCATACACTTGCGGTCCGGAGTTTTGCAAATATTTCAGCATTATATACGAGTTATATTTCGCAACATACCCTGCCATTAAAAAGAAAAAGGCAGTAAATAAAAGGGTTAAGATTATCCAAGAGCAACTTTCGAGGTAGTAAGAATCAGCAACTTGTCTGTCTGTCTCGTTAATATCAATACGAAGTAGAAGAAGTCTGATCACTGAATCGACATGCGCTAGTTTTTCTATGTTAACCGGAATCAAGATGAACAGGGATTAATTTCAGGCAACTAAATCTAAGTATTTGCAAACATTGGGCATTCCAGGAAATGTGTTACTGCTTTGTTTGGACTATTTTTTTCTTCATCGCCTCCTGCGTGTTGGCCGTAGCGGCGGCACGTTTTACTGCCACTGGAGGATGGGCTGTAGCAGCGGTATGTCCTCTTCTTGCTTCTAAGCACATTTTGACAAGCAAATCTTCTTTTTATGGATCTGATGAAAATGTCTGGCTAAAAAATTTTTTTGAACTTAGAGATCTGGAAAGTGAATATTTGAACAGTAGACGCTTTTCCTTGTAAAATTAGGTTTCATTAGTATCAGCTCGAAAATTAAGTAGGGAAATGACAGCTGTTAACAAATTACAATCAAACCGTTTAAGAATTGCTTTGGTGAGATCGCTATCTAACGCAGGCTGACAGTTTTTAAAAGGCATCGTTCATCTGATCTGTTACCTATTTTTTGAAGTTGAGTCAAATATAGAATTTTAGCATAGTCACTCTTTATTTACTGCTTATTATTTTTAGTTTCAGGTTATTATGTGAAATATAACCACAATAATGCTGAGATAATTGCAAAACTCCGGACCGTAGATCTCTGCCGTGGAGATCGAACTCACTGCTACCCTTACCGGGGCTAATGCGTTCACCACCACACCATGCGAGTCCTTTGTTTCCTCTTTATCTCAGCCGTATTCTGATAGCAACTATAGGTTGTGGTGGTGAACGCGTTCGCATACGGAAGAGTGGTAGCTAGTGCTTCTCGCCGCCGACGCATGCGGTACGGAGTTTTGCAAATATTTCAGCATCATTGTGATTACAAAATTCTGCTTTGTTAGAACAACTTATTATTTTTTAATACATCAGTCGATGATTTTTTTTAAGAATGAAGGAATGAAAATGAAAGGCAGAAAAGGAAGTGCTATTTTTCTTTAGTTCTTCGGCTTCGGAGCGATGTGCTCCTACGGATTTGACTGTTACCTAAAATTTCTCTCCTGGAAAAACAACGAGGTTCGTCCATGAAAATCCAGAGAAAATTGGAACATGAAAGTACCTTAGTGCTTCCTCTTTCGTTTCCGGGTAATAGGAGTTATTTAGGTGGCAAGTGGTGGCGGTGGAAGAGATTTCATCGCTGAACAACGGCGACGTACTCAATATGTATAGATCTATTTTTTATACTATACGCATATCTTTTATCGTATTTGAATAAATCTTTTTTACATCGATGGATACATGCGACGATTAAATGAAATTCTAAATAGTCCATTGTGTAACTTGGAAAACTGATGCGAACTGAATGTCCACTCGTCTTTGCAAGGGTCACTCTTCGATCTTAGGCATAGGAGAACGAGATTTTTCATTCTTTTCGGAGTTTCGAATTCCTTACAAAATTCTTCTTCACATAATTTGTAGGATACTTTGGCTTAGTGTCAGCAACTCATAATACATGCCGAATCCCAACTCATTACGCCTTTGAAAATGCGAAGGAAACTTGAACAAGCAAATAAATGAAAGGGTAACAAATTTGCCGTTGGTGCATCCAACAGGGGCGCCCATGCACTTGACTCCAAAGTTGTATAGGCTAGTGATTGTTTACGGAATGAAAGATAAAAGGAAAAAAGTCTCCGCGTTGATAAATCCTTAAGGTTGCGTTGTGCATTCGACTTCATTTGGTATCGTTAGTGGTGACTGAATACAAATCTGGCCTTTACAATAGCCTACCGATATACTGGATCAGTGTTGCTAACCTCCCAAACATGTGTGGTACCAATTTGAAAATCCTGGATGGATGGGAGGCTTGGTGAGCCTGGTGGGCGAAATCGAACCCATCTGTATTGCAGGGCGCCACTAACCACTGCGCTGCACTGGCCCTTGCGAAAAGTGGAGGAAGAAGGTTCTGTGCGTCAAAACTAGCCATCAGAAATAAAATAGCTCATATAGAGGTCATATTGGGCACTCAGCTACCGCGTGCAATTGTATAGAATGCACACTGTCGGTTATGCGATAAGCATCGTATACGTGATTGAATGCATATTTCACGTACTCAACTCAAGCTTTGGCATATCAAATTGATGTTTTTATCCTTCCATACAAGTCTGGTGTCACCTTGTTAACCCAGGAAAAATGGCAGACATGATTGTCCGGCGCGTAGGATTGAACCAATGATCTACTGTGTTACAGGGCACCTTTAAACATTGCCTTACATGGGCTTGAACGATAAAATCACCCCGGTTTAATTAAAGCTGTATATCTCACAGAAAGAAGCCTATGGCTCAGTGAACGGAGGCTCCCTGCAACACAGACATGGAATCAATCCCCGCGCCCGTGGCTCACTAAGCCTTCCATTCCTCCGGGGTACGCAAATTGGTACCAGGGTTGTCTGGGAAGATGGCAGCATTGGCTCAATGCAGCGGTAGGCCACCGCAAGTCATTGTAATGGCCAGATATGCATTCAATCACCTCCAACGATGCTTAATGAAGTCGAAAGCATCCCTCAGCGATAGACAACGCCGACAGTTTTACCCCTCATTTATCCTTTTATCTCGCAGATAGTGTCTTAGAAAATATTCTATCTGCGTAAAACCTAATTATGTCGATGCAGCCACTGTTTTGACCTACCTGTGAAAAATAATGCTACACATCTGACCACGCAGAAGCTCTCGAAAGTACCGAAAATGTCGATAGTTTTCGGCTGCTGTCGTCATTTACGCCGGGGGCCGGAGAGAATCACAAAGCAAAAGACCTTGATATTTATCAATCTCACCGATGACCGTTTGTTATTTATTCGTTCTTTATTGATCACCTATGTATTTAGTTATTTAGGACGCACGCACCGTGGTGGTTTGATGCGTCCTGCAATTTACACGCGACCATTGCTTTGATCCTGATTTTCGGGCCGACCAAGCTCCTCATGCTTTCGGCGTCGAAAAATTGGTATCAATCTTGCTTAAAGGGTAGGAACACTGATTATTTCTCTAAAGGGCTTTATCAAATTATTAGGCTAGACATGTATCTAGCAACCATCACGGTCCTAGGAATGGAGTCAAATGCATGGGGAGACCAAGGTGATTGATCAACGCCGAGCCATTTCTTCTATGTCCTTCTACTTTCGTTATGATCAACGCATTTTCTCATGTGATAGTCTGATAAGTGTCTTCTTGTTAACAGTATCAATCCACTATTTTCTCTTTTAAACATAAATGCAGCAGATCTTTTACTGAGTTTGCCGTTAAAGTAGGAAGCTTTTGTTGGCATGATAACCTTTTAACCTCTCATACATTCGAAATATTGGTTACAAGAACTACATTTTTCTTCGTAATTTGTTCCTAAAGCTTTAGCTGCTTATCTTTTTCTCCAGGTCCTATTTTGCTGTATTGGCCTTACATGATCTGTCTTTATTTCTAAGGAATGGTTCTATTTTCGGTTTGTTAAACTGCTAACATTCTAACTCAACATTGACGACAACTCTTGTGCATCCTAGCGTTGTTTTCTCATGATTTAAATCAAATGTGTCTTATTATCTGGCTCTTTTGAAAATCAGATCTTCGTCTTCCATCCTTTTGCTGTTTTCTGCTCAGGATAGTTGTTCGTTCTATCTATGTTCTACTTGAACCTCATCTTCCTTGTGATCTATTGTTTCTAACCTTTCCTCTGAGCTATACTGACTTTTCTGTACTTAATATCTGATTTGATGAATAGTAGTCTATTTGGTTTATGAGATGAATTTTCCTTTGAATGGAAATGCACTCCCTGATACAACGTCATCTGCGGAATCGTTACGACCTCCGTTATGAGGAGTGATAAAAATATTATTTAGTGAATTCGCCATCTTGTTCTTGGTCTCTGAATACCTCTGAGGACTCAAAAACTCTATTGAGTCTTTCTCTTTGTCTTCCTCTCTGTGTAATCTCTCTCATAAAGCTGCCTGAGCTGCTCAGGTTTTCTTACATTCCACCTCAGCTCCAGAGCCAATTGTGTTGACGTTTACCTACACCTTGAGCTTCAATTCGTCTCACTCTTCCTCTCAGACAACAAGACGTCTCACCGTGGAGTTCGGAAGAAGTAGGCCGTTTCTTAAGGTAAAGGTTTAAGCTCAATTGCTTGAGACTGCTTGTCAAAATGTCAAAGATCGGGATGCTCGGTTACGGATACAAAGCGAAATCATAAATTGTGGGCACTATATTGTCAAACTGTACTATTGTTATATCAACCTTGAAAATCGTTGATGTGAATCGACTACGCATGTCTTGAATCAATTTGATCATCTTCATCATCATCGTCATCAATCATCGCGGCTTTTTGAACGTCACCTTTTCTCACCCCTACAAAACTATCATTTTTCTATAAAAAATGTTTAAAAAACTCTATAAAAAAGCTAAAAGCTGTATAAATATATTTATCAACCCCGTGTAAGCTTATCAAGAAAGAATATATATTGATTAGTCACACCGAGATTCAAGAAAAGTCGCTTTCGAAATATCACTTTTCTGTAAACCAACTTTATAAGCTTTCAACGTACCTTTTCCATGCGCACCTCCTACGTGGGCGCGTGCGGCGCAGTGGTCGGAATCGCCGTGCAATACACATAAGATTGATTCCCACGCCCATGGCTTACCAAACCTTCCATCCCTTCGAAGTCGGTAAATTCGTACCAGAATTGTCCGCGAGGATAGCAGCACTGGCCCGATGCATCGGTAGGCCATTGCGAGTTATTGTAGAAACCAGGTTTGCATTCAATCACTCCAAACGAGATTATTAAAAGTCGAATGCATGGTGCATTGCTAAGCAATTGATCAACGCCGAAAGCTTTGTCCTTTATCCTTTTACCTTTTCTATGACTGAAGAGATAGTGTAGCTGAATTTGTAGTGTAGCTGAATTTGTTTTTCTTGTGAGGCATCGATATGGCACTAGGAGTAAATATTCCGAACTTTCTTAAGCTGTGAAGGCTGAATGGTTCACTGAATATTCACAGCCTTGTATCTGCAGAAGGTTTGATGTCTCCGGTTTTTCAACCGAGCTCGATTATTTGATTGTTTTCGTAAACAATCATATCGGGCCATCCGTTAGGAAATGAATTACCGACATTCGTTTCCTCCTTCCGTCTTAATGGTATCGTTGTTGAGGTCACGAGGTTATTGAAGAAGTTTGTTTGTGACAGCTACTTTGCTTCACCATCTGTTTTCCATGTGTCCAACGAAATGCCATCTGTCTTTGACGTGTTGTCGTCTGGTGCCTCCATCTTCCATGAGTTGATTTCACTTCATTCAAAAGAGAAGATTAATGAGTCAGGCAGTGTGTTTCATCAGTTCTCTATCTCTTCCAAGAAAGCCTTTATTCATCGCTTTTGCATCGAATATTCTATTCTTCTTCTGAAAGAAATTTGGTCTATTAGGTTATCTGGGAAGCAATTTGGGCTTTCAACTTCAAACTATAATTTTTAAGATTTCCCGGCAATATTTCTGTGCTGCATTAATCTCTTTTGGCCTCATAGCATTTTGGTTGAAGATGACCTGCAATAAACACACAGGTCGCCAGTTTGATCCCGTGGTCCAGGTTCACCAAGCCTCCCATCCTTCCGGGATCGGAAAATTTATACCAAACTTATCTGGAAGGATAGCAACAATGAACTAATACATTGGTAGGCCACCATGAATCATTGTATAGGCTAGGCCAAGTATACACTCATTCACCTCTAACGGTATGTAATGAAGTAGAATACATGGCCTATTCCTAAGAGGCTGATCAACGTCGAGAGCTTTTAGAGTTTATTAATCTCATTACGATTTTTGGAGACGTGTAGAACGAAATGGCTGAAGGTACCCTTTAATGCACATTAGATTGGTTTCTGTTTTGATCCCGCACCCCAGGCTCACCAAGCCTTCTGTTCTTCCCGGGTCGCCAAACTTAAACAAGGGACAATAATTAGGAGCATAACGACGCTGAATGAATAGATTGGTAGCTCGCCGCAAGTCATTTTACAGGTATGAACGTCGATGGAGAGCACTTTTGATCTGCTGGTCACATCGTTTCTATGATATCACGCAATAAAGCATGAAGGAATATTTGCCGATTCAGATAGCACTTAAGGAAAGCAGCTCCATTTCCGAGCTTCAAGAAAACGGCATGCATGAGAAATGGTTTCATTTCTGAGCCCCCTTCCAAG